ACCGAATGCTTCTGGCTGTTTTTGTGTGGAAATTCTCTTATTGCTCTTCAAATTGACTCCGTACAGTAACCGCTTAGTTTCCTTTTTTAAAAGTTGTTTTAAAAAATTGTATTGGTGCGTCAATAAACTCGCAAAGGACTCATTTAGGCTCTGTGGATAACAGTTCAAATTTCCAAACAACACTTTTTGTCATTTCAAAAGATGTCATGAGATACTGTTTCCTAAAATACTGATCTTGTGGCTTCATGTTTTCTTTTTAGCATAAGTTTTCCAAGGTTTCCTCACTAGCAAATCGAAACAAATGTTTTGTGGTCAGGATGGCTAAAACACGTCATGGTTCATTAAATAAAATTGTCCTATTACGTTCGGCCTCTTCATCACATGATTATACAAGGGTTATTTATTTGGTTGATGCCTTATTCACATCATCATATCAAGCAGTTGATGGTAGTTAAGTGCCTACAGTCCACCTATTCTCTTAAAATCCGTAGTGTTGTTTACCCTGCCAGCACGTGTCAAAAAAGATTACAGTTCTTGGGATTACGTTTACGTCGTCGTTTTTCGCGGCTTGTGGCCTAGCCACTTGCCGCTCGGGTTTATAGTTTTTGGGCGTGCTACACCAATACCTTTAAAAAGAAGAATTCTACCCAGCTTGCGGCCCTTGCAGTCTAGGTTGATCGAGTGGAATCCAGGAGGTCGTTCTTCATTGCGAATACAAGTAAGATATACTAATGACCGACCTCGTATGGCTGTTTTCCTGCCTAGATTAGATACTTGAACGGAACGTTGTTTTGCCATATTTGTTATTGTGCATTTCAGTAGAAAAACAACCGATTATGGTTTCCATATTTTTTTTGTCTTTTATGTGAGCAAAGATAAAAAAGGCTGCGAGGGATATTCCGCTAAAATATGTGGTTGAGCCAGTAAATGGTTTTAATTCTAAGTCATTTCCCGTTCTACTCATGATTTAATAGTCAAAGTGGAAAAAGCTATCAAAATATATTTTTGTAGGTTTTATTTCTCCCCTTGGGCACATTTCCCTTTTGATTGCTTTCGTGTTCCTTTTTTATGGCTCTCACACCCCATTTCTTTGTCCACAGAAATAATGGTCGTCAAACTCGTGTTGTAAGAGGCGCATAATGGTTTTTTAAGTTATGACGTGGAAGCGAAACTTGTATTGCCGAATTAACGGTTCCTCTCTCTCCACTTTTTTTATTGAAGTAAACAAAATTTAACCATTTTAAAAATAAATTTCAGCGAAAACAAAGCACCGATGTACGACACACCCTAAACATGGACAAAGAAGCACCTAATCGCAGTTGGTAATCGAACTAACCAACATGTGGAACCGGAAAAAAATTCAAGTCGATCTTATTAGCAGAGAGTGAAAAACCACAAATACCGCACGTATAACTCCTGTGTAATCCTTTATTAACTATATTACGTTTTATTATTTAGTCCTACGTATTCTCAGTCTCCCCCACCCCCCTCCCCCCCCAAACCCTTTAGGGCCCAGTTTATAGGTTGTGCTTTTCTGGGAAGCTGCTCGAAGGTGGTGGGAGATTTGTCATTGATTGATGGCATATTTGTCGTACAATCTTATCTAGCGGGGACTAAAGCCCAGTTGATACGTGAATCTTTTTTAATTTAACATCTAATGAATCCGATGATAAAATAAACCACATTTTTAAAGAATTGCTGCGTGATGATAAAATTCAAACAACTTTATTTTCTTGATCCAAGCATTCGTGGTTTCATGATCATGGCGGAGAGTGAAATCAAAGCAGGAAGTGAGAGTGATGTCACATCACCCAGTGAACAAGGACTGGACTTTGATGAAGAGACTTTGAAAGGTAAGAATTCTTACAACTGTTAATATAACGGTTTATTACCAACGGAGCAAGGTAAAAAGGAAAATATTTGACGACAAAAAAAAGTAAACAAAATAAGGCAGCAAAATGAAAAAGATTCATTTCATTTCTTGGTCAACGCTGCTACAACTGAAGAACAGAAATTGAATCTCAAAGAAAGATGTGGAGTAATAAAGTAAGAAGACTGATGAACAATAGGAAGCTTAAGTAACGACGAAGGCGACGTCAACGAGAACGGCAAAACATTTGTACATTTCTTTGCCGTTACAGTCAAAAACAATAGATTTAGATTGGCAAAACAACAACTCTTCACGTGCATCACGCTTTTTTTTACATTTCTTTGCGGTTACTGCATGACTACGACGTGAACTGAATGCCTATTTTCAGGTACTGTGGAGCCTGACGTGAACACAAAGGAACGACATTGATTTTTTAAAATTTGTTTCCAGTTCTCCTTGACCATTTTGTTGTTTTTATCTCATGTATGCTTCATTTAGAAGTGTCACGGATAGAAACAGCAAAATACTAGCCCCCACCGGAAAGGGAAATTTTTTGTTGACCTCAATGGACCGGGAATTCTACGCGACGGACGTGAACACAAAAGGACGACCATGTTTTTCTTTTCTTGAAGTTCGTTACACTCTTTTAGAATTCAACTCCAGAAAAAATCGCCAGCATTTGACGAATTGAACGAGATGGAATAAGTGCAATGAAGTCAGGCTTCACTTTGTCAGTGACTTTTTTGTAGCCCTCGCCGTCGTCGTTGCTGAAGCTCCATCAAGGAAAAAAGGAATTACGAAACAACAGGAAAACCTTAAAGAGATTTTGATGGACGTTCTGTTGGATGGTTTTAAAATAGTTACTTTAAGGGATGATTCTGGTTGGAAGCCTAGTGTTTTATTCATTTCTTTTTTCCCAAAAATCTAGCCAGTATTTCATTCATAGAAAACTGACACAATTAGGTTGCAGTCATCGGTTCAATAGATGTTAAAGAAAGTTTTGGACGACTTTTCGAACGTTTTCAATGATTAAAAATGAGGAGGAATATTTGAAATTATTGTTGAACTTAAAGTGAAAAACTACAGTAAAAAGGCAAAGACCAGATAGTTAACCAGTACGAGAAGGTGCCTCTGAACTTGCATTAGGGGACTAACTGGTTTAAGCATGTACATTTACCTAACCTTTTTTTAATTTTTCAGTTCAACCCGATTTCACCCAAAACGTAACGCGTAGAGCGTTTACATTTTCCTCTTTGGCACTGAGATTTTGTTGTTTTCAAGCTCAAAAAATAAACAAATAAATGGTGACCACCTACCCCTCCCCTAAGTCACAAATTTGCACTAAGTGAAAAATAGTGTTAATGTTAACTTAGGGAAGGGGTAGGTGGGCAGTTACCCAGAAACCCCTATTAATCAATCCAAAAAACTGCAAACAACAATAACAAAATAAAGTAACCAAAAAAAAGGGCCAAAAGTGAAAAACCACAATCAAAATCGATGGAAAGCGAAAACCCACAGAGCCTGGCAGTCAAAAACGGCAATCAAATCTTACTATAGTTTTTCAATAATTCTCGGCTTGCACTGTCATGCAATGAAAAATAAAAATGCAAACCATTCAATACAGAAGGACTAGAATCTGGGAAATGAAAAAAGATAAAAATACAAAAACCTTTGCCAAGAATCAGGTCTGTGAAATATTTCAAATGCGAGATATTGGGGAAAACGGTTAACCTAAATTTATAAAGCTTTGTATGGAAACGCCATGTTGGTGTCCCTTTCAGGAACACCAATATGGCCGCCGGATACCAACAGAAACATCTGTTTTCGAGTTTTCCTACTATTAATGCGTGAACTCTTCGCTTGCGGAACTCATAAAGATTACAGAAATATTTATTCTGAGACAAGGAATGTTTAGATTGCAAAATCTTCCAAAATCGGTAATGCTTTTAACCCACATAAGAGCTTTCCCGGCCGCTAGCTAAATAACGCGTCACGCAAAAGCCTGGAAATTCAAGCGTCCTCTCTCGCAAAACGAAGAACCCTTTCGAACCAAAAACTTGTTGATGTAAAGGTGTTTAGGTACTGTAATACCTTGTGAAAGTAGAAACTCAGAAGAATCAATAGTTTCTTAGTTTGATTCTTGGTGACGTCACGTGCAACCCAAGAATTTGCAGATGTTCATGCAAAGTAATGAACGGTGAATTAGTGGTACACATCGTGGTATTTACTTGAAGAGATGTTGTTCTTGTTACCAACAATACGGTAACTAATATGGAAACCCCCAAAACATTTTTTAAAAATAAAACCAAGAGCCATTATAGCTCTTGATAAAACTGAGTACACTAAAAAACAAAAAAAAAAAGAAAACCGCCGAAAGGGAATTCTCCTGTAAAACCATAAATTTGAAGAGGACGAATCCCGAAAAAAGCGCCAATATGAAGTCCACTATTAATGAGGTAACAATTACTGATGTGACCCAATGATAATCTCAATATACACCAATGAAAAACTTGATTCTTTGAAACGCAAACTTGATACTTCGAAAAAAAAATCTTCATTCTTTTAAATGCAATCTTGATTACCTGAAACGAAAACTTGATTACTTTCGAAACAAAATCGTCTTTGGAATACAAGTCGGCATTAAACTTTATTTGCATATCGGTTCTGAATAGACCTTTCCACGAGTTCAACAAGTTAGGGAAAATCCGTCGACAACACTGGAAGGAGCGTCTTAAAATTAGTAAAATTGTCAGCTCCGCAAAGTCGTTAAATTTTACAGATGTTTGTATAGTTGGCGGGAGGGGGGGGCACATACAAACGTCTGTAAAATTTCACGAGTTTGTGGCGCACCTATATCTTCGTTGGTTTTCAACAAATCACTATCAAACTTGGCAATTTCACTAATTTTGATTGAAAAAACCGTGAAAGGGTCTGTTGACTGTAACTTTAGAATCGCAACTGGACGAAAAACTACCAGGAACAACCAATGCAAAATAAACAGACCGAACCAGATCAGGAGAATGAAACAAGCTGAAAAATTCATAAAAATTAGCGGCAAGTGAGCAACTGACTGATTGAATCTACCTCTCTCTTCTTCTACTCACACCATAAGCTAAAAATAAAATGTAGAATGGTTAAAGGTAGTACGGTAAAATATCAACACGTTCAACACGTACTATTAAAGATACTTCAATTTGCTTCATTTTCAGGAATTGCAGAGGTTTTCAATGATGAAGGCAGTAAAGGTTGCGACAAAAGAGACTACAGCTACGCCGTTTACTTTTATACTGAGGGGATTAAAGTGAACTGCAAGGACAAGGATCTGATGGCTGAACTGTACAGCAACAGAGCACATGCACACCTTTTTTTGGGTGAGGCTGTTTGTATTTTCCAGGGTTTAGTGGGTTGCGTACTTGTAGGACTTTCAATTAATTGCTATCAGGTGTTGTGCTTGTTCAAAGCCCCCACTGTTGTTTCGATACAGAAAGGAACACTGATAAGGTGTTGTTTGATTTATTGACCAGGCCTGTTGACAACGCAAGAAAAGAAAAGAATATTTTATTTGGAGTCTTATACAAGCTAGTTCATAAACGTTTTGAATTTCCAAATGATTCAAAATTACAAAATATACTGGTCATTGATTCAGTACACTACGATACGCGGGGGTGGGGGCATTATCTATACATGGAAGCTCCCCCCGAAAGGGGGAATTTTTTCAGGCTCCAGGTATATCAAATAGAAAAGAATTTGCGAATTAATTATGTAGAGGGGTAGAAACATGACTTTATCATTTGATCGTTTCGATGAAACCAGCGTTATCATCGGCTAGGTCATTTCAATTTATTGCTGCCAAGACGACTTTCAGTCACTAAGTAAACATATTCTTTGTATGTTGAAGGGGTACTATTTTTCAATGGAAAGAAAAGGTCTACCTTTTGTGTTAGGGTAAGGGGCCGGCCGGCCGGACCTCGGGTCGGAGCCCTCTCGTATGAAACTTTGTTGAGAGATTTCCCAGTTTCTTTTTTTCATACTTACGAAGGCTAACCCGCATTAACCGATTTTATTTGCTTTGAATTTTGTTTTGCCTTGCCGCACCTGTTGTGACTTATTTTGGGTTTGTTTTTTATTTACACATTAATTTTAAAGGAAATTACAGTGACTCACTGAGGGATGCAAAAGATGCCACTGACATACGGCCATTGTTGGTAAAAGCCATGGTAACAGGTAATTGTAATGTTACCCTAGTCTCGTTTAGAAACAGTGATAGGCTTACCGTGATAATGTCATTACGTTTAAAGAGTTCGCATCATCAGGATCTGAGACACAGCACCCTTGCGTATTTCATGGTTTGGTTTTAGAAAGATTTTTGAGACTGAACTTTAGGGGTTTGATTAGTTTTAGTCTCAACGTGGTAGTTATAGTGTCCATGTTTACGGTTGCTTGAAAAAGGGAATATAAAGCGTATAGCGTATTTAATAAGAGTATAGACAAAAGAAATCAGACGCGATTTGTTTTTCTCTATCTCTTGGGCTCGATTTTCCAAGAAACTTTGCCGGAAAGTGGACCTAATAATTGTTAATGTTATTGTAAAAAAAGCCAAACAGACAGCAATTTGATGGTGCGCACTCCTATAGACTATTAGAAATGACGTGAACAAAATGTTCAAAACTTTGCAGTGAAACCACTCATCTGCGGCTCGTGATTTCACTTGAGTTTTGAACGTTGTGAGGTCACTTCTATGGTCAGGAACCCACAGTAGTCATGGGTTCCTGCTATGGTTCATAGCAGTGTTGACCATAGAAAATTGTTGTCCGCGAACGTTTGTTAATTTCTTCTCAGAAACTGATGGATACGCCCAAAGGATGCCAGTTTTGAGGGAGCTCTACTGTATGCTGCAGTTTTACTGAATTATATATTTACATATTTCAGGAGCTAAAGCCTCTTTGAAGATGAATATGTCTGAAAAGGTGATCGCGTGGTGTGAAAGAGGATTAGAAGTATCCTTATGTTCATACTTTTTAAGTCCATAGTAAGAAGGTGTTGCAGCGTACTATACTCATCACCATACATTCCCGGTTATAAAATAATGTTAAAATGCTTGCCAATTTCTTCACCCCTTACTTCCCTACGAACTAGGTTGCAAAAAGAACTTTATGTGTTTTCTCACCTTCCATGATTCATATGTGGAAGTAAAAGCAGGAAAAAGATAAGTCACTTTTCTAAACATAGATGTACATGACTGTTATAGACTAACCTCTCTTTTGAGTAAAGGAAGCATGGAGGAAGGCCAAGGTCAAGTCTAGTTTCACTGTTAACACCTTAACAATTTTTTAAGGTTGACTAGGAAAACCAAACCTTGCTGGAACTGAGGAAACATGCGTTAACATGCGCAGAAAAAGAAAACACCCGTTTAGGAAATACAGTCATCGACAACAAGGTGTCTTTCTTTAAAATAAACGTTTTTGTTTGATTGTCTGCCATATAGAAATTCTCTTCATATTTGACACAGCTGAGTTTAGTCAAAGGGAAAACTTTGTTAAGGCGATTGGTGTGGCGGATTTAGTCATATCTTTTGGCTGGAGTTTAACCACACATGAAGATCAATCGTCATTCTCTAATAATAATAATAATAATAATAATAATAATAATAATAATAATAATAATAATAATAATAATAAGAAAACCTTCATTAATTTATACGGCTCAGGGTAGCCCCTTCAGACCCAAAAAGCTGTCTGTTATCAATGGGAGCCCTGAGCAACAACGCACACACACTAAACATATAAACATTACACTAATACAGGTAATAATATAAATAGAAAACTATTTTCAAGTAAAAGATTAAAAGATGTAAAACACGAAATATCATTAAGATAATTCGTTAAAAAGCTTCCGCAGATGTAATTTACTAATATGACGTTAATAAATCGCGCAGAGGGTTCAGATAGATGAGTTAAGGGAGCCCATGGAAGCCAATAAGGCTTACGACAAAAAGGGTATTTTTTTTCATGTTAACTGAAAATACAACTTGCTGTCTAAGTTACATTTGTGAACGGTTTAAACGAATTGATACTGGCTACAATCTTTGGAAGACGTCGTGGCCCGTTTTTCGTACGAGACGTAAATACAAACATAAGACAACATTTACCTAGTCCCCAGGCTTCATTATTCCGCGCAGCCAATGCGTTTCAGGTCATGTGGTACGAACGAATTCGAACGAGTCTGAACGTTATTCGTCTCGCTTACGTCACCGAAATGCATTGACCGAGAACAAACTAGCTAGGCAAAGAGAGCAACGAGAACAATCGATGTATCAGTTGTTTTGGTATTTAAGTGCCAATGTAGCTTTGGGAGTCTATTTCAAAAATTCCCTTGAAACTAAGTAATGACAATTTTGGGCCCAAAACCCTTTTAAAGTTTCAGCCCCTTACTCCATGCTACACCTGAAAATTAAACTATTTTGGCAGCAGTTTTAAGTTAAAAAAATTATTAATAATAATAAAACAGTCGCAACTTGGGGCTTCAAGAATTTTTATGAATAAACAGTTAGCTACAGCTTGCATTATACTTTCTCACCGGCTTTTTCATGTCACACACATTCTCTAGAATGATCTCCATACGTTTCCGTAAAGAATTAGTTATAAGAATTTGATAAAAGATCTAAGCATTTCCCCTTTGGTGATTATTCAATTTATCAATTTTTATAACCTGTTGTCTTGATGAAGTATTGATAATGTTGAGAGAAAAAAAAATTTGCTTCCATTGCATAATCTCGACCACTATTATTATTATTATTATTATTATTATTAGACGGCAGACGATTATAGACAACTTTTAATACTGTCGCCGGAAGTTTTTAAAAAGTTTTATAGAAATTAAGATATTGTTTAAATTTTCTAGTCTTTCCAAAAAAGCAAAAGCAAACAAGGACTACACAGCAGCACTTTCAAAGAGGATGGCATGGACAGTTATGACCTTGCAATCAAAGCATTGAAAAGAGGTGATTTTAGAGCAGCCCGGGATTATTTTGAGTTAGAATTCAAGCAGGCCAAAAAGAACAAAGAAATGGATAGGGAATACAAAGCATGTATGAACCTTGGCTGTGCTTATGACTCTCTCGGGCAGTTCCGAAAAGCAATCGAATTCTTTGAGCGGGCTCTTGGTATCGCAGAAGAGACTGGAAACAAAGATTCAGAAGGAAGAGCATATTTAGACCTTGCCGGTGCTTATGGCTCTCTCGGGCAGTTTCGAGAAGCAATCGAATTCTTTGAGCGGGCTCTTGGTCTCTTAGAAGAGACTGGAAACAAAGATTCAGAAGGAAAAGCATATTTAAACCTTGGCAATGCTTATCACTCTCTCGGGCAGTTCCGAAAAGCAATCGAATTCTTTCAGCGGGCTCTTGGTCTCTTAGAAGAGACTGGAAACAAAGATTCAGAAGGAACAGCATATTTAAACCTTGCCAGTGCTTATGGCTCTCTCGGGCAGTTTCGAGAAGCAATCGAATTCTTTGAGCGGGCTCTTGGTCTCTTAGAAGAGACTGGAAACAAAGATTCAGAAGGAAAAGCATATTTAAACCTTGGCAATGCTTATCACTCTCTCGGGCAGTTCCGAAAAGCAATCGAATTCTTTGAGCGGGCTCTTGGTATCGCAGAAGAGACTGAAAACAAAGATTCAGAAGGAACAGCATATTTAAACCTTGGCAATGCTTATCACTCTCTCGGGCAGTTCCGAAAAGCAATCGAATTCTTTCAGCGGGCTCTTGGTATCGCAGAAGAGACTGAAAAGAAAGATTCAGAAGGAAAAGCATATTTAAACCTTGGCAATGCTTATCACTCTCTCGGGCAGTTCCGAAAAGCAATCGAATTCTTTGAGCGGGCTCTTGGTATCGCAGAAGAGACTGAAAACAAAGATTCAGAAGGAACAGCATATTTAGGCCTTGGCAGTGCTTATGGCTCTCTCGGGCAGTTTCGAAAAGCAATCGAATTCTTTGAGCGGGCTCTTGGTATCTTAGAAGAGACTGGAAGCAAAGATTCAGAAGGAACAGCATATTCAAACCTTGGCAATGCTTATCACTCTCTCGGGCAGTTCCGAAAAGCAATCGAATTCTTTCAGCGGGCTCTTGGTATCGCAGAAGAGACTGAAAACAAAGATTCAGAAGGAAAAGCATATTTAAACCTTGGCAGTGCTTATCGCTCTCTCGGGCAGTTCCGAAAAGCAATCGAATTCTTTCAGCGGGCTCTTGGTATCACAGAAGAGACTGAAAACAAAGATTTAGAAGGAACAGCATATTTAGGCCTTGGCAATGCTTATCACTCTCTCGGGCAGTTCCGAAAAGCAATCGAATTCTTTGAGCGGGCTCTTGGTATCGCAGAAGAGACTGAAAACAAAGATTTAGAAGGAACAGCATATTTAGGCCTTGGCAATGCTTATCACTCTCTCGGGCAGTTCCGAAAAGCAACCGAATTCTTTGAGCGGGCTCTTGGTATCGAGAAGAGACTGAAAACAAAGATTCAGAAGGAACAGCATATTTAAACCTTGGCAATGCTTATCACTCTCTCGGGCAGTTCCGAAAAGCAATCGAATTCTTTCAGCGGGCTCTTGGTATCGCAGAAGAGACTGAAAACAAAGATTCAGAAGGAAGAGCCTATTCAAACCTTGGCAGTGCTTATGGCTCTCTCGGGCAGTTCCGAAAAGCAATCGAATTCTTTCAGCGGGCTGTTGGTATCGCAGAAGAGACTGGAAACAAAGATTCAGAAGGAACAGCATTTTTAAACCTTGGCAGTGCTTATCACTCTCTCGGGCAGTTCCGAAAAGAAATCGAATTCTCTGAGCGGGCTCTTGGTATCTTAGAAGAGACTGGAAACAAAGATTCAGAAGGAAAAGCATATTTAAACCTTGGCAGTGCTTATCACTCTCTCGGGCAGTTCCGAAAAGCTATCGAATTCTGTCAGCAGGCTCTTCGCATCGTGGGGAAGACTGGAAACAAAGATTTAGAAGGAGAAGTGTGTCTTACCCTTGCTTTTGCTCACTGCTCTCTCAGGCAGTTAGAAAAAGGAATCGAGTTCTGTAAGCAGGCTCTTGGTATCGCAAAAGATACTGGAAGCAAAGATTTAGAAGCAAGAACAAATCAGGGCCTTGGTAGTTTTCATCTTTATCTCGATAATGTCGAAAAGGCATTCGAATTCTTAAAGCAGTCTCTAAAAATCGCAAAGGAGACTGGACAAAAAGTTTAAGAAGGAGTGGCATATGCGTACCTTGGTCATTTCTATGCCTCGAGGGATTTTGAAAAAGCATTCGAGTTCCTTCAGTATGCTGTTAGTATCGGAAAAGAGACTGGAAGCAAAGGACTAGAACGTTTTGCGTACAGACTACTTGGGATAGTTTTTCTGGGATTCCCCGACGACTTTTCCAGAGCTGAGGAGTATTTCAATTCTAGTATCAAACTGATAGAAGAAATGAGAGATCTTCTGCAAGACAACGACCAATGGAAAATCAGTTTTCGACATCAATATAGCGTTTATACACATTTATGGTGTCTTCAATTACGTCAGGGCAAGACCACCGAGGCCTTTTTTACAGCTGAGCGGGGACGAGCACAAGCTCTCAAGGATCTGATGAAATCAAGATACAGCGTCGAATTAACTCAGTTATCGTCGGAGGAGCAGATGGAAAGAATATCCTGCATTTCAACCCATATTTCATCTCCTACGATATTCATCGCGGAGGTCCCACAAAAATCTGTGAATTTCTGGTTGCTATTAGAAGGTCAGCAGTGGCAGTTTGTGCGAAAGAAAACCAATCAGTCCCTGGTTTGTTTAAATAAGAAAGCATATCAACAAATGAAAGTTGATAAACTTGTCAGGTGCGAAGATCGTTCCTTGGATGGAATAGAAGATGAAGAGATCGAGGAGTCATCCGACTGGAGCACAAATGAGCAAGAATCAACTTCACCACAAGAGGGTGATGATGCATTGAAAAAGTTGTATGATATCATTATTGCTCCGTCTTTACACTTGATAAATGGTAATGAACTTGTTATTGTCCCTGATGGAGCATCATTCTTGATTCCTTACGCTGCCCTTGTGGACCAGAATGGCAGGTATTTGTCTGAAACGCTGAGAATTCGATTGGCTCCATCTGTGACCAGCTTAATGCTGCTGGCAGAGTGTCCAGAGGACCGCCATGGCACATCTGGTGTACTGCTTGTTGGTGATCCATGGGTGGAAACTGTTCGCTTAAGCCGCAAAAGGTTTGGACAGCTCCCTTGGGCCGAGAAAGAGGTGAAAATGCTTGAAAAAATGCTAAACGTTCAGCCTCTAACTGGAAAGAACGCTACCAAAGAACGAGTATTAAGCAGACTCGAGTCAGTTTCCTTAGTGCACATTGCAGCTCATGGTCGTTCAGAAACCGGTGAAATTCTTTTGTCTCCTAATCATGGTAGTCCCGAAAAACCCAAAGAGCAGGACTTTCTCTTGACAATGGAAGATGTGCTGAAGGCAAAGCTGCGTGCTAAGCTTGTTGTCTTAAGCTGCTGTCACACTGGGAAAGGGAAGATCTGTGCTGAAGGAGTGGTGGGTATTGCACGTGCTTTTCTGGGGGCCGGTGCCCGTTCTGTTATTGCGTCATTGTGGGCAATCGAAGACAAAGCCACTATGGAGTTTATGAGAAACTTCTACGAACATTTGATTGCAGGCCATAGCGCAAGTAGGTCTCTCAATCAAGCCATGAAATTGATGCGGGAGTCTGGTGAATTCAATGAAGTGAGGCAATGGGCGCCGTTCGTGCTGATTGGTGATGACGTGACATTTGATTTCTCATTATTGGCCAATGAAGGTAAGATTGTCACACCGAGTTGAGATAGAATGATGATCACGTGGTTAAGATTGTTAGACGAAAAGTGCTTTAATCCTAAACCCTTTGATTTCTAGTCCTTGATCATTAGACTGGAAATGAAACCGGAGTTTCGTTAACAATTCACTTTTGCGAAACAAACAACTGCCCGAAGAGTACTCTGTTTAATACAGAGATGAAAGGATCTGGGATATTTGAACTACAAGTGGAGGCTAAATAACAAGTTTTCACGCAACAATATTCCAGATCGGTATAGTTCGTTAACAAGGGAGGGAGGAAGGAGTTAGGTGACTTTGTTTGAACTAGAATTTTTTTCCCAGGCTGTTCCTGTGATCACGTTTTTCCTAATTTTTGTTGTAAATATAAGACTATTGACTCAACTTAAGTATTAACTTTTTTCGTTTCAACCCTCCCCCAACCCTTCGAGAGTTCGACAGTCAAATGGTCGTCCACTAATAAACATTGCTTATACTTATCACTGCGCCACCGTTGCTACTAGACCAGTTTGTAGAATCTCTTCTTGCCTTGTACTACAAGTATTTTAATAGATTGATGGGTTCTATATGATGCAGAACCAGTCAAAATCCAAGATGTCCCCAAGTCGGAGTCCTGCGTTCTGACAAGTTTCATTTCTACTCCTTTCATATTCGACAGCCAATTACTCGGAATCTGCCTCCCAGACATCTTGGATTTTGATTGGTTCTGCAGTGGGGTTAGGCTCGATTACCAGCCGCTGTTCGGGAAATGAGCCCGCGCTAGAGAGCAGCGGAAATTGAGTCTACAGAGGGGTATGAAAACCATTGAAGCTGTCAAAACTTATGGAAGACTGCGCGTCAGAACGCTAACACCTTTTTCTTTCTCTCTTTCAGCTACGTCCCGGACAAGCACGGGGACGGATCATTAGTCTCTGCTGAGTTTATCCGTCGCTGTTTACACGTTCAGGGGATAAAGCCAAACAGCGAACCAAGACATTAATTTTACTGTATATAGCAAAGTAGAGCGAACAGCTTTCAGAAACGATAGCTCATCTATTTAAACATATTAGAATTAAAGCAATTCCGGCTGTGTCATTTTTGAATTTTCTGTACAAACAGAGAGGAGTAAAAAATTCATCATTTTATCTAATCATGTTTTCTTGTCCTTTTTTGAGTTATAAATAATTTTAGCTGAATGCTGCGTAAGTAAAATTCAAGTTTTTCCTTAGGTTATTTGAATGTCAAGTCTGTCAACCCTTTTTATGTAATAACCTTAATTTTCAATATTTTTCAACAGGACAGAAAGTAAGCAATAAAGTATATTCAGCAATGACACATTATGGTCTTGTACAAATCATTGAATTATCGAACAACTTATTACTGCCAGAGAAAAATTAAGAACTCAACTGTCTTTGAGACAGACATACTGATTTTTAATGGCTGTAAATTATATTGATATTACCCCTGTGCTGATCAGAGTATATTTCTTTCACAGTATTCTAAGAGATCTCGACGCCGAATTTTAAGAAGATAGCTTGATTGAACAAGTTTCCAAATTTTACTGATTTCGAAGTTCACTGATTTTTCGTCATGCATGTTTGCCAAAACCTGCATCTGGACTAACTACAATCCTAATGGAGTTAGTCGCCGATAGCTGTGAAAGTTCGACAAGGAAGGACATCCTTAACAACTTATTTTGGAATCTGATTGATGCGTTTTAGATTTCTAAAAAGATAACAAATGGCGTACATAGCCCCATAAAAGCACGAGATGTGGTAGAAGAAATCATTTTCTACAAATGAGTTGAGTTTATTAGCCTGCGTAGAAGCGTTTGATCCGCGCGAGTACGTCAAGTTCGTCTTTTGTTCTCGTTCCAACTTTCGCGGAGTAGCTCTATTCGATGATTGAGAGCCGGACAATCGATGGTTGGTGTTTAGCATGATTTGTGGGGAGTTGTTTTAGGACGTCTGCGTAGACGTAAAAACCCTGCGACCATTGCTGGATGTTTTTCAGGAATTTAAGGCCAGGTGATCCTTGTTTTCATTATAAGTTACGGTCCAGGACAAAATTCTCGAGGGGCCATCTTTTTTTTGCCGTTAACTTGACCAATGCTGGCCTGAGAAAAAAGCCGACATTTGGAGACGCTCTACTGGTTTCCCTAACCTGAGATCAGGTGATTTGTTTTTGCTTCTTTGGCTCGAGAGGGAGAAAACAGATTCCAGAGATAAAGGGAGAGGACGTGGTTTCCCCGCCGAATGACGTCTGAGAAACGAGCGCAGAAATTCCATACTGATGACACGCCACTACCCAGATCTGGGTAGTGCTTCTGATTGGTCGTGCCGCGTGGGAAATTTGATTCAACCAATCAGAAGGACTACCCAGATCTGGGTAGTGACACGTCATCAGTATGGAATTTCTGCAGTTATTTCTAAGACGTCATTTCGCGGAAAAAAGCCGGTGGTGGCGTCACGAAAGGTCGGCCGTTTTTCTGGCCACAATAGATAACGCTTCGGGCTCTTAAGGTTCGCTAAAAGGACTCTAAGATATCTTTGGTTGATGTTGGTTTGTATAACCACTGGTAACGCTGCTGAAACGCGCGACCATGTGTATATAAAACTCATTTCCTTAGGTCTTACTACCGAAAGTAAGTCCTTACTCACGCTAACTTTGATGGTGAATGGGTCAGGTTTTGAAGGCTTCTACGGTACACCTCTACCCAAACTTCCATTGAGCTGTGCCCTCTCTCCGCATCCCCCTACCCTGCTAGCTGAGTTTTCCTGCGTGGCTTGTCTGTCGCGTAGTTGGTTCTTTTACGCCCCGTTTCTCACGGGGCGTAAAGAAACCAACTACGCAACAGAAAAGCCCACGAACGACTTCGTATTATAAAGCGTTAAAAGCCATGCAAGAGAGAAACCTCTGCTCGCAGGCAAGGGTACATCACTCGGGCTCTATTAGTAAACTATCTGCGGAAAATAATATAAAATTGCTGCATGCATAATAAATGTATGGGGATTGTGCGGAGATCTCACCCAAACTTCCCCTATATATGAACTAAGCTGGAGAATTTTTGCAAAAATCAATTAACGACTAAACTGCACAGGGTCCAGACACTGCCAGAGGATGTGTTTGTTGTTAGAACATCAAAACCCGTCGAAAACCTCTGAAAAAAAGGGTTATTTTGATCGTGTTACAGTTTCGTTACACATTCTATACCGCAAACCAAGAGACTGAGGGCTAGCAAGATCGGCTACTCGGCACTTCGTGCCTCGGTCGCCCTTCGGGCGAGGTGCTGTGCGTCGGCGAGGATATGGCTTGCGGTTATTGATTTTCAAAATGGCGAACAACAAAGTCGATCTGGGTATGGATAATAGAAAGACCAGTCTTTCCATTATCCATGTTTAGCATTAGTAAAACACCACTTTTTTTCTATTTTCCGTTTTGCTATGGAGGAAAGTTTTTGGCGATTTGTTTTTGATGATGGTGTTTCATTGTCGATCGAAACGAATTAAAATATTTTCTGAAACGCTCGTTGCAAAGTACCTTTATAGCGTGATAGTAATTATTACATCGAAACGTGCATGTATACTTATACATAATTACTTGAAAGAGAAAACTCGCAAGAAAAAAGAAAGTGTTCTAATTAGTTAATATTGGTTGTCCCTGTCTTAAATTTAACGTTTTATGCCTTTTAACGGATGCTTAAACTAATAAAACACACCACTGTACTTGTTTAAAGTCTGTTTTCCTTGGGCTCGGTCGTCGACGTCTTGCTGGTCTTGCTGATGTCGCTCATAAAGCCGACTTTTTGGGCAATTCTGTACTATATATTGTATCCAAACAAAATAACTCTTCTAAATAAGATAAGTGTATTGAAAGAGGTAATGTAGATTGTATGCTGGAATTTGGCATGTCATCAACGTTGAATAGAATGTTGAAAGTGTACCTGTCGTTAACAGCGCTGGAATGACGGGCCGTGTAACGCTATTTTTAACCACTGGAATGTCGCGTTTTTTCGCAAAATTAGGGTTGAACTCGAGGTCTTTCGAGCTACTTAAAATCGTTTGCCCAGAGATTTGCTTCGATTTTCTGATAGATTGGGGCCTAGTCAAGGCGTAGAAAGTCAATTTGCGAAATTCTAAGTTATAGCGTATTGTAAAAATTTGCAGTATTTTATCCCTATAATTTTGAACGGTAGAAATTGTCAGTAGGGTCTATTTTTAACAACACTTCTTTTGCCACAAAATTATTACAGCTTTCACAAATCTATCATCTTATAAGAAAGAAAGGGTCATAAAAACTATTCGTGTTCTTCAAAGGCTGCCAAACCGGTGTAGTTTGACGTACGAGTCAATGAAATTTGTGTAAAATTTCGTTTTACCGGAAGTCGATTTTTGTGCTCCGAACAGGCAAAATGAGTTTTCTCGAATTTTAACAAATAAACACGTTATTTGGGAAAACTAACTACAGCATGTTTCAATACTCATTAAGGGTTATCGATGAGCCCAAAATGAGTGAAATCCGAATTTTGAACTTGTGTACTTGTCGATTTTTGTCGATATTTACAGACAGTCGGCTTAAGTTCGTTCCAGGCCCCACTGTTGCGTGGAATATCATTGGACTGGACTACCACGTCGAGGATTTTTTAAAAACGTTTCTGCGTAATTATGTATAGGTAATGAAACCCAATAAAGCTAATAAAAAAGTGTACAGCTCTATAAAATGATTCACAAGGGCAAGGGCTAACGTACTGAGCCTTGGTCACGAAACGTGAACTCTTGCCCTCTTTATTTGCCACATAATTATGCATCCGAAGAGCT